GAGCCATTTGGGAAGGTCAAAAAGTACTTCCTGAACAGGATCCGGAGAGAGGTACAGAACCAGGGCAAACGCACGCCTGAACTGAATCTGTTTAATTACTGCTGCTTTAAAACCGTCCAACATTTTTCCTCAGTGTTTCCTCGAGATGTACAATGCCGAGGACGCCGAGAAGATGGCTGCCGATTATAAAGCGAAGTCGCCAAAGTTAAACGGGAAGCGCCTGACCATCTACGTGAGCAGGAAGTACAAGCAACTGAAACACGGGTGAGTGTCATCGTCGTCTTCTGTGGCCCCTGGGTGCATGAGTGACCGCTAACGGCTGTTCGACTGGCGACCAAATAAAAACTACAACCAATCAAGAAACACTCTTTTACCACAAGCAGCAGGAACTGTCACTGAAACATGTTTCTGCCATCAACTGCTGGAAAATCCTGTATTTCCAGAATAATCTCCAGGCTGACATCTGAGTGCATGATGTCATCACTTTGCAGGAAACCAAAAAAAATTATCACAAAACTTAAAAAACATAGAAAACCTCCAAGTAAAAATTCAGTCATGAAAACTTCGACTTGTTTGAACTTTAAATACTGTTTTTATGTTGAAGTGTCCCGAGAGCCTGCCCTCTAATGTCGGCCAGGGTTTTTCACTCTTTGGTTTGCTAATTTTGAGAAAAACGTTCAATGGTGAAAAGTCAAACAACTCTTTCTGATGTTTTATAAGCTTTGTTGAGGTTCTATGAAAGCCTTGGGACCAGCTGACTGTCGGGTCAGACGACTATTCTGCAGTGTTGATGAAACATCACATTTTAAAGCTTTGACCAAGCGTCACGCTTTGTTAGTCCAAAGGTGCTGTTCAGTTTTATCTGTACTCCTGTTCTTGAGGCTGTGGTGAAGAGCATACAGAGGTGCATGCTGGGAGTTTGTGTTTGTGTCACATTAAACGCTCTGTCTCATCTCACTGTGTTCGCTCAGCCATCGAACGCCGAACACCGTGAAGAGAGCGAGTGACGACTCGCCACAAAAGTTCTCGAAAGATGCCGAGGAACCACCGGCCAAGAAACCTAAAGAGGAGGCCCAACCAGAGGTGGAGGAGGAGAAAAAGGAGGATGTGGAGAATCAGAAGGAGGAAAAGGAGCAGGAGGAGGAAATGGAGACCCCTGATGTGAGCGAAGAGACGGCGGTGGAAGAAAAGTCGGCCGCAGAGAAAGTTCCTGAAGTTTCTGCTGAGAGGAGCAGCGAGGACGTGAGTCGTTTCTGAAGATCTTTAATGACCGATAACGGCGTGATTATTGATTACTTAAAATACAGTTGAATTAAACAAATTCTCTCCCCTCAGGAGAAACAGGAGGAGCTGGTGGAGCAGGTGGAGACATCGACCAATCAGAGCGGGGAGACTGAGGCTCCTCCTCCTGCTGAGAACAAACCCAGCGTGGCGTCTATGCCGCTGCCACCGTACGACCCCAACACGCCCATTGGTGAGGACACTTTCTGATCGCCAGGCAGTTGGCTGGTTTATGTTTTTAAAAAAAAAAAAAAAAAAAGGCGTCATCATCAATACGATTGTTTTCCTGCAGGTGTCGAACATGTGAAAGCAGGGTTTTACTGCCGCATCTGTTTCCTGTTTTACTCCAACGAAGACACAGCAAAGAAGACGCACTGCAGCAGCCAGGCGCACTACGACAAGCTCCAGGTGAGAACCAGGCCCGCCCCACTCATAGCTCCACCCACACATGACCTTTGAGCCTGAATCAGCTCCATACATCTGACACACCAAACTAACTGAAGTTTGTTTGTTTTTCAGAAATACCTGGAGAAGGAGCAGAGCAAAGCGGAGAAGAAGGTGAAGACGACAACGCCATGAGAACACCCGAAACTGAGGAAGAAGTGTGGATGGACTTTTTTAAAAAATCTTTGTTTCTATAGCAATGTTTGAAACACACATCGGAGCGACTTTCTGCTGCCGCTCTGTGGCATTGAACCCCGAAGGACTTGCTGTTTGTAGCCACGCCTCCTTTTTTTTTTTGCTTTATTTCTGCAGGTATTGATTAGCTCTTTTATTGGTTCTTCTTTTGTCTAAACGGTCAGGAAAAGGAATACTGTGTTTAAGATCTCAATTTTAAAACTAAACAAAAAAAACCTGATACCGTACAGGTGTTTACACAGCTGTCAATCACTTTCTTTATTCATCTAAAAACATTGGATCAACAGAATCATAAGCCGACCCCAACTCCCCCTCTGCTCAGATCTTTCCCATTATTAAGCTACAGCGTCCTGAAGATGGATTCTCCTTATATATGTCACCTGAGTTCACGCAGGTCACATAAAAATGTGATTTTACCCCAGATTACCTCCGTGATCTTAAAATATTCAGAAACGTTCTGCTCCAGGCTGCCAGACACTATAATCTGGTTATTTTCAAAATAAAAGACCCAGTGTTTTGTGCTGTCACCATTGGTCTCGTGCCATTTAGTCACGGCTCGATTTTCATCTCTTTACCGCAGTCTCACCGCTACATCAGTGTTACGTTTGTAAACAATGAAGCGACAGATCAATGGCTGTGATTGTGAACTAGTCTTTGAACAAATCTATGACGGCGTCACGACTTCCTGGGTTGACATGTTGAACTGTAAGTCTCACTTTTTTTGGAGTTTTCTGTTGATGTTTTAGAAAAATAAAACCACTGTTGTTCATGTGAGATTATTTATTTGACAACACCACAGATTTTCTTAAATTATATAGTTTCTGTGAAGGTGCGGCATGAGTACAATTGACAAAAACTGATTAGAGCCCAGGGAGCTGTTAATATTCTGACATTACAGCCTCTTTAAGACATTTTTCTTAATCTGACAGCACCTGAACCTGGTGTTTGTTTCTAAATCTTCTGGGTTGACCAATCAACACCTTTTAGGACCAGAGCACGTGAGTAGGAGATTAACAGAAATCTAAGAAACTGGATTTTTACAATCACATCTCACTCTTTCTCAAACATACAGTTTCTGTTCTGCACGACATAAAACTTAAATATTTATACATTTTTGGATTTTTCAGCAGAACTTTAAAAAAAAAAAAAAAAAATCTCTGTACAGAAACTCAAAGTCCAGTGGAGAACAGACAGAAATCAAATCATGTTTGGGATCTCGTTTCTGATAAAGTCAATTAATAAAATCTGAAGGTAACCAATTTCTCTGCAGATGTTCAGCTCGTCCACGGATCCCTCCCAGTCTTCTCCTGAAAAAACAAAACAAAGACTTAATTTAAATTCAGCTGAAAAATAAAAACTTAACATTAAAACCTTTTTTTTCCTCCACCTGGTATTTGCTGTAATGCGACAGGCTGCTGCAGTGCTGCTGTTTGGCTTCATCCTCTTCAGCGAAGATCCGCTGACACAGGTTACAGAAATAACCGACAACCGGTCGCACAAACTCCGTCCCTACAAAACAAACACAAACAAGCGACAGTGAATGCACCGCTGCACACTTGTTTAAACTTTATTATGCAACAGGAAGCAACAAACTAAACTGTAACTAAATGGGATTTCAAATAAGCTCAGAGGGTTTCTTACCAACAGGTTTGGTGGGTTTCTGAGGTTCAGCAGCGCCCTCTGCAGGTCCAAACTGGGGCTTCACGTCCTGAAAGTAACAAATCAGTCATGAGCTTTAATCCTGCACTTCAGAGGAGATTTTCATTTATTTATGGCCAAAAATCTTTTTCCATCATTAACCGTGTTTTTAACTGCTTCGCAATATATTTACATTTAAAGTCTATTCATCGCACAGGTAATTTTAATAAGAAATATTTCATGGCTGAGGCAATTTGAACAAAACTACATATTTAAGACTGAACTGCAGATAAAATAAATGGAGCTATTCTAACAGCTGATTCAACATTTGAGATCTGTTAAACACGATGGGAATGTCAGCCTTTTTAGAAATTTTTACGAACTGTTTTGGCGTTTTTAAACTACATGAAATAGCATTTAAGACTTTGACGTTATCCTGGGGAAACTAATATTTCTGTTGAGCTGGTATCACAGCACCTTTGGGCTTTCAGTTATACCTGTTCAGATGGTGGTTTTGAGGGCTCTGTAGAGGAGACTGGTGGATCTGGACTCTCTGCATCTTTCACATTTGGTCCTGCTTCCATACAAACATCTATTGGTGTTTCCTCCTCCTCCTGCTTGAATATGTGTGGTGTTTCCTTTTTGATATAATCTTTTTCAGGTGGTGCTTTATCAGCTGCTGGTTCCTCATTTTGTTGAGTATTTTCTTGCTTTAGTTCTTTCTTCACAGTTGTCTGAGGCACTGAATTATTGTCAGGAACTCCTTTTGGTTCCAGCGTCTCGCTGTTTGGAATCTCTGCACACAATGACCCTTTCTCAGGAGTCTTTCTCCCCGCGGATTCCTTCTCCGGACCATTTTTAAGGACCTTTTCTGGAGGCTCTTTGTCCAACGATTCCCTCTTTGGAGACTTTTTGGACTCAGACTCTTCTTCTGAAGTTTCTCTGAATGTAGACTTGTTTTCCGGAGTCTTTCTGGGTGCGGACTTTTTCGCTGGAGTCTTTTTTGTTGTAGAATCCTTACCTGAAGTTTTTTTAGATGGCAAATCTTTCTCTGGAGTCTTTTTCCCAGTGGATTTCGTTCCCAATGTGTTTTTGGCATCCTTTTCTGGAGACGTTTTGGATGTGGACTCTTTCTTTGGGGTCTTTTTCCCTGATGAGTCTTTCTCTGGAGGCTTTTTTGACCCAGAATCTTTTTCTGGAGTCTTTTTGCCTGATTTCTCTGATGTCTTCTTCGGGGACTCCTTCCTCCCTTTAGACCTCCTGTCGGTCTCGTCCCCGTCCAAGGTCTTGGATTTGCTTCGTTTCTCGCGCTTCCTGCCTCGACTGTCCTTGTCATCGCTGCCGTCCGAGTGAACAACCCATCTGCAAGAAAGGGGTAAAGTATGAATTTCATGATTGAAAGTTCACAGAAAAGAAATTAGGAAGAGTGAAGAGGAGGTTTCGGACCCGTTGTCAAGTCTGTAGTATTTGGTGGAGATGCGGGCTTTGAGTTTGGGGCAGTTGTGGATGGCTGGTTTGCTGACGAGCTCTTCAACAGCTTTCAGGGCCGCTGAAGAACTCGACATTTCAATGAAACCCTGAAACACAAAAAGAGTCTGAAAATGGTCCCAAAGGTAAAGAATCCACTCAACTCTGAACTCTAAGGGTCACAACATAAACAGGAACAAATGTAATCTACTATAACTCTTACTGCTAGGAGCAAATACCAAAGCCAACATACACAAGATAGCCTCAAGCCAACTTGGCTGGCCAATCAACTTTCATATTATTATTATTTTTTATCCAATAGGATGGAGGAGCCTGATGATGCACAGGGATTATAATCATCCTATTGCTGGGCTGAATCAACACAGTTTGGATTCCTCTATCAGCTGACAGAGGTCATGAAAATGACTGTGATGAATGATGTATATGATCAATGTAGCCTTTATGCAGTTTGTATTCAGGCTCATAACTATATCAAATTTGATTTTCATTTACAGAGATATTTGTATCATGTATTTATAATCTGTATTTAAATTTTAAAAAGCTAAAAAAATATATATATATTTTTTTATCTCATCTCATTTTCTTACTGACCTCTCGTCGATTGCCAATCAGGTAATAGCGCACCACCTTCCCAAAATTTCGCAGCAGTTGGAAGAAGTCAAAGAGGGCGTAATTAGGCGGCAGGTGGCCGAAGTAAAAAACCCTGCTGGATTTCGATGTTGACTGCAAGCAAAGAAAGAACAAACTGTTAAATCAGCAACATATCAGACAAAAACTCAGCCGTTATATTAAAGGTAACACTTACCTTGGGCTCATCTGCTGATTCTCCACCTGCAACAAAATCAAACAGGAAGAATATCAGAAACCGAACAGTGAGCTTTAAAACTCAACCAAACGTGCAGGTACCACATTATGTTTTTGTGTTCAGCATCACAAGACTTCCAGGTATACCTTGGTCGTCAGAGTCATCTTCTTCCAGTTCATCCAGAGTGATGCAGTTTTCCAGGTCTACAGGGAAGTCCTCCTGAAAAAGCACATCGCTCCAACTGAATCCCTTTTTTCCACTTTATAGGTTAAAATATGTCCACACTAACATGTTTATCTAAAAAGTCTTTACCAAATCCTCCTGTAGAGGAGTCTCTGTTGCTTCCTTTGACTCCTCTACTTCCTCCTTCTCTTCCTTCTTTATCTCCTTCTCCGACGCAGGTTTCTCCTCATTGCCAGGCTCTCCACCCATCGCCTCCTTTACTTCATCTGTAAGGGAGGGTTTTTTTTAAAAAAAAGTCAAGCATTTCCTTTGTTTTCCTTTAAAGCCGGTTTTGCTGTGAAAGCTCAGCTCTCATTTTCTACCTTTTTCAGGTGCTCTCTCTTTAGGACTCTCTTTTTCCTCTTCCTCTTGCAGAGCCTCCTCATCGTCATCTGCCAGATTCTCTCCATCCTCAGCAATCACCTCCATCCCCTCGATGTCGCTCTCCTCTCCAGGCAACCTGAAGTGGCATCTTTAGTTAAGACTGTTCTAGTTTCACTTGCAGAGGCTTTTCTGCAAAAAACCCCAAAACAAAACAAAAAACAGCAACATGAGGAACTCACGCTGCCTCCCCTTCCACTTCTTCTGTGTTTGAAACTTCAGGTTTGGAGTCTTCGAGAGGAGACGGTTGTCCTTTGGATGTGGACTCTGCGTCTGTGTAGAAAAGAAGATTTAACACCAGCCTGTCTGGAGCGACTGGTCCTGGCATCGTGTTGCGTTTTCTTACCTGGTTTCTCTGGTTCTGCCGTCTTTTCTCCGTCCCGTCTGGAGGACTTGTTGCTGGATCTCTCTCTAGACCTGGATTTCTTATCTCTGCTGGATTTTTCCACGGATCTGGATTTGCTCCTGCTTTTTCTTTCTTTGCTTGACTTTTCTTGGGTTGTAGACTTGGTTTTTGTCTCTCTGCTGGACTTGTCTCTGGATGCGGACCTGGTCTTCTGGTCTCTGTTGGATTTTTCTCTCGATTCGTCTGGCTTCTTCTCTTGGGACCCTTTCTTGCTTTCCTTGTTGGATTTTTCTTTTGTTTTTTCTCTGGACCCTGACTTAGACCTGGTCCTGGTCCGCTTCTCACTAGTGGACTTATCTCTGGACCTGGACCGGGTTCTGCTCTTCCTTTTTCTATCCAACTTGTCTTGGGACCTAGACCTAGTTTTGGCATCTCTGCTGGATTTTTCTTTAGATTTATCCCTGGACCTGGACCTTGCTCTGGTCCGTTCCTCTTTGCTGGACTTGTCTCTGGATCTGGACCTTCTTTTCTTATTTTCTGTCGTTCTGTCTCGGCTCGAGCTCCTTGTCCTCTTGGTGGTACTCTTCTTCGTACTTTCGTTCTCTTCTTCGTACCTCTTGGCTTTTGAAACCCGCCTACAGGACAGACGAGACAAAAGCAGGACCATTATCACTGATCACCCCCTGGATGATAATCCGCCAGTTACCTTCCTATCGGGTCAGTCGTACTCACATGAGAGTCTTGTACTCTCCAGAGAAGGAGACACAAATCAAGTCACTGTTGATCCTCAGAGTGTTGGACAGATAATAATCCACCAGCTTCTGAGCATCAGGGGCGTTCTTCATCTCAACAAACACCTGAAAACAAACAAATAAACAATGTGTTTGTATGTGTTTTCTAAAGTCTTCTAAAGCGATTATTTAAGAAAAAACAAAACAAAACAAAGAAACTGTCTTCCTCTCCGGTATAGTTTTTTAAATGGGCTGAGCCTCACCATTGACGGCAGGAACAGGGTGTAGAGCGGCAGGCCGAAGCGTTTGATGATATTGATCAGGTCGGATTCTCCGTCTTCTCCTGATGGAGCGGGCGTGAAACTCACCACCCGTGTGCTCTGAGGAGACATCAAAGTGTGAAGAGACTTTATCAACAATGAAAACAGACGTTTTTCTAAATATTGATCTGTACAACGTCACAAAAAGGAAATACTCTCATATGGCCCGGCTGTAACACAGAAGCCCCACCTGCCTGCAATCAGGGATGTAAAAATGTAAAAAAATGTTGACACCTCTCGCTGTGTTTGTGAGACTGGAGCTTTTCCAGACTGAGATATTTTTCTTAGTAATAACCAAACGTTTGACACTGGGACTTTCTGTACTTTTCGTATGCAGGAAAAACTGGACACTGGAAGTGTTTCTCTTCTACCTGGAGAAAGTTGAAGGCGTTGGAGACGCTGAACTCGATCTGCTCTCCGTTCACAGTTGGAGGATAATTGCTGTGAAACTTCACCAAGTCTTTGGCCTGATCAACCGAGCCCATCTCCACGAAGCCCTGCAGGGTTTAAACCCACTTTAATAACGCTCAAGTGCAAAAAAGAGAAAGAAAGCTGCTGCTCGTCTTTAAATGAACAAACATGCAAATATCAGCAGTGTGATGATGAAGAACCTCGCAGACTCACCAGAGACGGAAACATGATGACCTTGATGATCTTCCCGAACGGTTCTGCGAGCTTCCTGAGGTATTTCTCATCGACAGACTGAAACGGAAACTTGACGCACACTACCTTCCCTTTCTCCAAAGTCTGACAGGAAACAAACACAAAGACTTTCAGCTGATTCAGGAGGGGCTAAACCGAACCTCATCGAGATCTTAGACACGTGTCTCTACCTTCTTTACCTTCTTCTGCTTCGACTTGCTATTCGACTGCGATGCTGCCGAACAGAAAGAACAAGTTTAAGCAGAAAAACTTAAACGTGTAAACACAAAGGCACAGCCGAGTGAGGCAGACTTACTTTGACTAGCTGCCGGGGCGCCTTTTCCTCCATCTTTCTTCTTCTTCTCTGATTTATCGTCCCTAAAAATGACAAAAAGAGGACGATCAAACAAATTCAAAACCGAGCCACTGAATGAACAACAAACATCTTATCAATAAATAAAGTTGATCGCAGCAGCTTTGGATCAATAGCAGGACCGCCAACATCTGGACCAAAAACCCGTCCTTCAATTATTAGAAAAATAAAACACTGATTCGCTGATATTGTACTTATATGTTTGAGACATTTCTGACTTTATTTTTATAAAACTTTAATAAAATTGTAATTTTATTACAAATACTTTATATGAAAAAGTAATATTACATACAACTAATTAGTAATCATTTATTCATTTTAATTTATCAGCTGTTTTTGAGATTTTTACATATATTCTGACATTTTACAAAAATACTTTAAGTAAATAAAATCAATTTATTATTTAATAAATCCAGAACTTAATGTCCATGATATATTGCACTACATGTTTCTCAACATGTTTTGGAAATGTTTCAGATTTTATAATATTCTCTACTCTATTTATAATATTTCAAAAATGTGATTTTATTTCATTTATAATTTACATTTTAATTGTTTATTCAAATATTTTTGGCAGGGTCACGGCTTTTTATTAGTTTTTTTTCCAGACTTAGTTGGCTGTGCTGAATGAACATCGCTCATATTTGCCATTCTTTCTTTTTTTTTAATTTTAGAGTTGTTGTCTCAGTTCCTTAAATTAGTTTAAAATAGCTAAGCTACACAAAAATGGCCACATTTCATCCTGGAGCCAAAAAATGCTCAATTGAAAATCACTGATCCCACATTTATCTTGACATCAACCAAAGCATTTCTGTAATGTTGGATCACTCGCCTTCAATTTGAATTTTTTATTTTATTTGTCTGCCAGGTGGCACTACTTTTTACTATTCAAAGCATGGACACAGTAACTGAAGGCTTACGTGGCGATGCTCATTTTCGGTGGTCACTAGTCAAAAAGTTAATCAATTCAAATCTGCTGGCTGCTGCTGCAAGCCCCTCTCCTCAGCAAGCGTAAGGGCGGTGTGAGTTTTGCACGAACAGAAGGAGAAGAGCCGGCAGCGCCACGTGGGAAGCTTACACGCAATAACCAGTCTGTCCATTTGCAGCCTCTGCTCCACCTCAGCTGGGGTCCCTATTCTTTAAAGAACTATATCATTAATACTTGACGTTTAGATTTCAGGCTGAAGTCGTTTTAAAAGATCGAGCAATTTAAAATGGGAAACAAATCTTACTAAAAAAATATTTTTACAGTCGTTTGTTGAAATGTGGCGCTTTGGTTAAATTATATGTCATATCCTTGTAAATTAGTCAACGTTTTTCAGGGTTCATTAACATCCACGTTGTTCAGTTGATCGTGTTTCTGGCTCGCTGATTATTTATTCAGATCAAAAAAACAACATTTCATCTTTGAGACATGCCAAAGTTTTCCACTTTGATAAAATTCAGATTTCTGTTCAGAGGCGTGAGAACGATGATGTGGTTTCGGTCACTGACCTTCGGACCGTCTGCATGCGGCAGTCCCAGTTAGGAAACCTGTGGAGGAAATGAGAGAGTGTTATTAAACCCTGCAAGCAGTAGATGGAGAAACTTGGCGTTGATGTGAAGTAAACTCACTGCTGCAGGAGGCTGAGCTGTCCATCTGCATGGTGCCTGCCGGTCACGTGCTGAATCCAAACCTAAAAACAACAGGAAGTAAACCCGTTACCATCTCTCTTTGTGGCACTCCGGTCTCGTAGGACACGTGCAGCTCCCATCATCCTTTGCTGCTGAATGCAGACCCTCACACCACCCACACAGACTGCAGAGAGAGATTCGAGGACAGGTGCACTTACCTTCTGCGACAGTACAGTGATATCACACAGCGAGCACGAGTACGGGAACGACGGCGGGACCTTCCCGTGGAAATCCAGAGCTTCTTTCCGTGTAGGCATTGAGGGCGAGGACTGACTGCTCCTCGTGGAGGACGTGTCACGGCGGCTCGCCTGAGGTTTGGACTGGTGCTCGCTAGGAAGAGGAGAAGCCGTCACCAGCGCTGATGACCTGTAATCAGCTGGTCCGGCCTCGGAGAATCGAGATGACGGCTCTCTATCTCCTCGCCTCGCTGGGCTGTAAGAAGGAACTGGACCAGCCTTACCATAATCAGAGGGGCCCTGCCTGCGGTGGAAGTCCACCGTGTACCCCAACGGCGATGATAAGGATGACGATGGTGGCAGCTCTGCTCGGCCGGAGCTCACGATAATCGGATTATTCCAGCGATCCATGAGCTTCTCCGAGGGAGGAGGTGGTGGTGGCAGGTGGTCCAGCGGGTAGTGGACCGACGTGCGATGGAGCTGGTCCCAGTCTCTAGAGGAGGAGGAGCTGCTCGTGGCAGATCGATGGGTGGAGCTGGAAGGGTAGGAGGAAGAGGAGGAGGGAGACGGAGCCCGGGGAGGGAAAGGTTTGACGGTCCCTTTCTTGCATTTGATCTGTCTGAGGATGTGTGGCAGAGACTCAATAGTGAGGACGTCTTCGGGCAGCTCGGCTAGCAGCGCCAGATCACTGGGCTCCAGACCGCAGCTGCTCAGGATGCTCAGAACACTGTCCTGCGATGACTGCAGCACTCCAGAGCCCCTGGACGAGGACGGGCAGGAGGAGGAGACAGAGAAGGAGTCTTGTGGCTGCCTGTAAAAGTCACGGTCCGCTGAGGAGTGGCGGTAGTCCACAGATCTGTAAGGCCCGGGATCAGTTCTGAGGTCGGTGTCAGACGGCGGCTTTCTGTATGGGTAATTCTGAGACATGATGGCGAGCTGTGGAGAAACGCTCTGGGCGTTTCCTGCAGACAGAAGGTGTCAGGGAAGACAGAAGACGTAAAAGGTGATGTGAAGGTGGAGGACGAGTTGCCCTGAGAGAAAACACTTAAGAGTGAACACCACGTGCTCAGGAAGTGAAGGAGGAAAAAAAACATTATTTTCTAGATGGTGTCACGTCTGCCTCGGCTACTTTATGATAGGAAATTGCTGATAATGTAAACAAAAACATAAAAAGTGTTCATCCTGATACAGTTTTAGTGAAAGATGAAGTACACCCTCTTTCAGATGTAAGGTTTTAAGTATGAGGACATGCAGAAGCAGCGTGTGAAAAACGACACACCCAGCAGCAATAACTGAGTTATCGCAGTGGAGGAGTTCTGGTCAAACTCTTCTTGCTTCAGTTCATTGAGGTTTGCAGCAATCACTCATGCACAGCTCTCTGAATGTCCCACCCACAGCATCTCAGTCAGGCTGAGGTCTGGACCATTGCAGCATTGGGATTATTTTCTTTTTCAGCCACTGTTGGAGATTTGCTTCTGTGGTTTGGATCACCGTCCTGCTGGACAGCTGAACATCAGCTGAGCTTTAGCTGTGGGACAGGTGGTCTCACGTTTGACTCAAGAATACTTTAGTAGAGAAAAGAGTTCACTGTTCACTCAGGGACTGCAAGGTACCCAAAACATGAACCTTCCACCACCGCGCTGACAGCTCGTTTGAGGTGATTGTGCTTTGCAAACCCATGTTGTGCTGCCATGTTCTTCTCAGAGAGAAGCCTTTCTCCTGGAAAAACCTTCCAAACAAGCCACACCTGTTATTCTAATTGTGCTGTCATGAACTTTAACATGCTAACTGAGGCCTGTAGTCTGACACGGAGCTCTTGGGTTTTCTTGTAGTTGAGCATTGCATGGGCTGAGCTGGGATGTCCCCTCCTGGGAAGATTGTTCTGTTAACACACCTGAGTAATCCAGACCAGCATAATTCCGCTTCGATGAAGATCAACTAATCAGTGCGTTTGATTACCAGCACCCCGCTGCTACTTACCCTCTTCATTCCCATGTAAGCCGTAAGGATGAACTTTGTTTTTCACACTCTGCTTCTGTCTAGGTTTTTGTGAAATAAATAATGACACATGTAATATGTCATCTGTTGCTGTTCATCTGAGGTTATATTTAAATGATTTTAAGGCCTGCTAAGAATCGGATGGTTTTCATTACATCCTGATACTGAAAACCTTTGAATTTGAAGCAGGTGTACTTTTCTTTTTAACCATAGTTGTACACAGTTAACGGAAAATTACGGCTGTTCATATAACGATATATATCGGATGACGATATAAAAACATCTATCGTTTCATTTTACGCTATCGTTTGTTTAATGGTGTCGCAAAATAAACTGTTTACGGCAATATTTTTTTCATCGTTTTGATGGTCACTGTAGTGGCTATATTAATTTCTTTAAGTTCTCTCTTTCTCTTATATTTAATATAACCACACTACGGACGGACAAGCGCCTGTTTTATGCGTTGTTGTTAGCAACAACCACGGTAAAACCATCGCGTGTCCGCTGGTTTAGTTTGCACATAAACCTTTCACAATAAAGCTCAAGATCCTGTTGAGACTTTTCAAAATAAACTGAATCACGTGAAAGAGTATGCAGAGTATTTACGGATGAGAAGCCAAAAAGAGCCGTCAGGTGCTAAAAAAATAAACCTTAGACTCAAACGTTAGAACAGCCTTTTCCCCGCAGCACGATGTGTAATAAATACTCACAAAGCAAACGGCGGCGTTACAAATGTATCGTTTCATGCATCGGTTAAAACACTCGACTCCAGGTTCTAGAAACACTTCATGCAAGTCGAGCTGCCCGAGATTCACAGAATTTACAGAAAATTTTAAATTTTGTGATTTGTATCGTTATCGGGACAATAGATGTCTTATATCAGGCTATGAGATTTTGGTCATATCGCACAGCCCTACGTAACATTGTAGAAAACCAGAAAAGTGATAAGAATATATCCTGCTGATCCCTAAATGCTGTTAGATCAAGCTTCAATAAAATAAAGAAGAAATTAATAAAAATAAACACAGTTCTTCTTTAAACTGCTAGCTTTAGAGGTCTGTACAACAGATTATCTGCCATCATCTTCTCCTATCCCAACAGCCTCCTCTGTCACACCAACTCTCTGCATGTCCTCCTTCATTAAATCCATGAACATCTTCTGACGTCTTCCTCTTTTCTTCCTGCCTCGCAGCTCCGATATATCCACTCTCCGTCCTCTGCAAATGTCCATGATACCAGATATTCAAACCCATCTAAACTTTTACTCTCTCTGCGCTTCACATGTCCACCTCTCCACCTCTCATTCACACATGTATTCTGTCTTGCTTCTACTGACTTTCATTGCTCTTCTCACCAGAGCATATCTTCACCTCTCCACACTTTTGCTAGAGATCACAGTGTCGTCAGTAAACATTAACGTAAACAGAGACTCCTCCCTGAACTCATCTGTCAGCCTGTCCATCACCACTGCAAACACGAAGGAGCTCAGAGCAGATCCCTGATGCAATCCCACTCCCACCTTGAAACCATCTCGCTGTCCTCATTTATATCCTGCCCTTATACCTTCACTTCTCAACCACTCCTGACTTCCTCATGCAGCATCAGTTTCTCCTCTCCCTACCATATTCTTTTGACCATTTTTTATAATCAGTGTTTTGTTTTGTTGTTTTTTTTGTTTTGTTTTGTTGGGTTTTTTTTTTTTTGGGGGGGGGGGGTATCAGTTTAACCAGCTGGTATTAAGTTTAAATATAGAGACACTGACGCAGGTAGACTGTGTTTTACAGGTGGAACTATAACGCGACACAGAAACATGGAAAATGTTGGACATAGAGCAGGGAAAATGCATGTAATTTTCATTAATGTAGAGCAGGGTTTGTGCAGGATTGGTGTAACCCGGATTAATCCTCTCTGATTAGAGATGTGTTGAACGTTCAGAGAAAGAGGCTTCTAGGAAATTCAGCGCGCAGTGGTTTCATTATGGTCGAACTGAAAGTGTGATCTAAGAAAATGCCGAGTTTCAATCAGAAACATTGTCGAACAAAACCGAACCAAAAAACTCGTCTAATTTCTAACCTGTGCAGAAAAGAGCTCCGCTAACAGTTAGCTAGCGGCTAATGTAGAGGAGGAAATAAAATCAGCGGCTCACCTCAAATCACAGCTGCACCCCCCAGGTGATCCACGCAGCTCCAGGCAAAAAAAACCCCAAACAACTCGTGGACAGTGGACCTGCCGCTGGCTTCGTTTTCCACGAAAACAGATGCAGAAAGTAGACGATTGAAAGCCGCAAACAACCTAGCTGTTTCACCTGCTTCTTCTTCTTCTTCTTCTTCTTAGGTTTACAGTCTGTACAGTCTGTACATCGACGCATTCTCGCCCTCTGCTGGTGGGGAAAAACAAGTTGAAACAAAATAGACCAATTAAAAATGTTGTCAAATTAAATTAAACCAAAATAAATTAAATTTGGAGGAAAACATATTTATTATTAAAATATAAAATAAGCTAATTTATTAATATATTACACTTGAAATTATTTATTAAAGAAAACATTAATAAACATGAAAATAATGCATAATATATACATAAATTTAAAATTCATAAAAATATATTAGGTTAGTAATATATTATATATATATATTCAATATTATATTAATTTAAAGTACAATGCAATACAATACAATATTTTCAGAGATAAAAGTAACAAAAACTAAAATTTATAAATAATTAATAAAATTAAGACATATTTATAGATTAAATGTAAAATGACATGATGTAAAAAATGTAAGTAATAAAATACAGTACATTCAAAAATGTATGTACTAAAATAATAAAGTAATAATAAGAATAACAAAACAATCATTTGAGATAAAATTAATGCAAATAAAATGTATATAATAAAAATATTAGAGAATATGGATGTAAATAAATGCTAATTAATCAAAATAACTAAAGTATAGCTTATCAACATTTTCACACATGTCACACATAATGTCTGAGTTAACTATTTTAAAAATAATGAAAAACAAGGAAGCTGAATAGTATCAGAAAACTAATTTTAGTGGACGCAAATCATGTTTTAATTGCCCCACTTGGCCTCTGTTTGAGAAGCACTGATCTATAGAAATATATTTATTGTATTTTACTGACCTTTTCACTCACTGTTTTACTGACCTGCTATATTTTACTAAAGTGAACACTTAATTTGTTGTAATTTTATGTGTTGAGCTACTTTATTTGGGGGAGGGACTTATTCTTTTATATTCTTATGGATTGTGTTTACTGTTTATATACAGTAAAAGTATATATGATCATATATGATGTGTATTATCAAATCTACCCAAAGTGATTCAGCATTTTGCTTTTAAGTACTTTTAATGTACTTTGTTTTTGTTTTGTTTTTTAATTTATTTAATTAACTTGTTTAGTTTCAATTTCTGTCCTCCAAACTTAAAAATGAAATGTTTTGGGATAAATTTGTGGAATTATGTTTGAGAAGTTCATTTGCAGTAATTTTTTTGTTGTGTTGTTGTGTGTAACCACAAGGTGGCGATCTAAGACTTCGGTGAGCTTGTTAAACGTTTACCTCTCCTCCTCCTTCCTGTGTGGATTTTTGGAAAGCTGAGGCAGATGAAGAACACAACATTCAGATTCAGAGCTGACAGTAAAAAAAATAAAAACACGATATACTTTACATATGACGCTCGCACCAAATATAACAAATTTAACTAATAACAAAAACATTTATTCACAGAACGGATTAAAAAAACAAAGTGATGTTAATAAATGTATACTAATATACCAACCAGGCGGTCTCTAATGAAACACACCAAAAATTTAAAATAATTTTAAAAAGCTAAATTAAAAAATAAATCAAGAAATAAACAATAAATAAATAATAAAATAATAATAATAAAAAAGGAAATTTGTTTTAATGCAGTAAATATATGACAGTTACAAAATATAAATAATTGTAAAATACTGCAATTAAAAATAAAATGATCACTGGGTAAATTAATATAAATAAATATTTAAATATTAAAACACGTTACATGTTTTATAAGTTAAAAAGGAACAAAACAAGGATCTATACATTTTTGATAAAACAGTGAATTATTTTAATAAAAGGTTAACAAGATAAAATATCAAAATGAAAATAAAATATAAACAAAAACGTAACACAATAAATATAGTAACAACAGAATAACATAACTGGTTTAAATACATTGAATTAATAAACTATATAATATATATATAATACACATATATATGTGTGTGTGTATTGTAATGATCCAAGACAAATCGAGATTTCACTTCACTTTCACTTCAAGATTTCAAACCAGGAGAAGAAATACATGAAAATTATAACACTTCCAAAAAAAAGGAAGAATCGTAAAAAGGAGAGAAAGAAAGAAGAAACTGAGCCTGTCTCATTTTTGTTGCCTTAAAATCAAAAACAGAAAATTTACTGTTAAAGACACAAATATCATAAGAATAAGGACAATTTATTCAGCAACATATACATTAAAAATATGACAGTAAATTATGTTTCAGCTGAAACAAATGAAGGTGAAACACAATAAAAACAAAAACATCTCACTGAAAAATTGCTGAAATAAAAGTAAACTTGTTATTATTAGTATGAGTCATACAGCAGGTGGAGCCACAGACCACATGTTGTACATCACTGAGGCCGCTATCAGAGCTGTGAGTACAGCAGAATGTGTACTGTAAGTACCATAAGTATTTGTTCTTTTTCAAATAACTCAGTAAAATACTCTTCTTTTTGTGTCTGAACTACGCAGTAAATTCATTCACAACCTCAATAAATTTCACAATCAGTCCATTTATCACCGCTGCTTATCGACAAAATCGGAACAATTTGTAATTTGTAAAATTTGTAACAATTTGTAAATGTAACATAAAACATGCAGTATTTAAAACATTTCAGTCACAAAACCTTGCATTCAAACATTCAAACAGAGGGAAAAATCTGTCTTTAATATATTCAGGTTTTCAGGATGCATTACTGCTAAATTAATACCAATATACATATACATTTATACATAAATGATACATCAAGAAATTCTTCATTCACGGAAATGGTGATGATATAAAGAGTATTGATACTAGTCATAATAGCTGTAATAATTTTAATAATAACACATACAATTTCAATGATTATTATTATTATTATTATTATTATAAATATTCTTCCTTTGATACGAATCCTTTCCTGTGTATATATATATATCACTGTGCAGCAGTGCTGCGGGTGTAG